CTACATTTGTCAAAGATGATAGATTCTTTGATTTGAAGAAGACATATATATTGGGTTTTTATAATTGAAGAAATACTCAATTCACCAGTCTGAAATCAAACAACTTAATATTCATGCATCATATTTAGGCATTTGCAAAAATAGATGCATTTTCATTCATTTTTATTCTTGTTGAATTGTTAACAGAAATTTCAAAGATTTTAGCAAAGATTTCAAATCCACTTGATGGATCATTCATTGCCAGATAAGTTCATAATGAGAAGAACTCATCTGAAGAAGGAAGAAGAAGTTCATAATGAGAAGAACTTGTTCAACTTTTTGTTTAAATTCATCATTTGATGGATCAACATTGCCAGAGAAAGTTCATAATGAGAAGAACTCATCTGAAGAAGGAAGAAGAAGTTCATAATGAGAAGAACTTGTTCAACTTTTTGTTTAAATTCATCATTTGATGGATCAACATTGCCAGAGAAAGTTCATAATGAGAAGAACTCATCTGAAGAAGGAAGAAGAAGTTCATAATGAGAAGAACTTGTTCAACTTTTTGTTTAAATTCATCATTTGATGGATCAACATTGCCAGAGAAAGTTCATAATGAGAAGAACTCATCTGAAGAAGGAAGAAGAAGTTCATAATGAGAAGAACTTGTTCAACTTTTTGTTTAAATTCATCATTTGATGGATCAACATTGCCAGAGAAAGTTCATGAATGAGAAGAACTCATCTGAAGAAGGAAGAAGAAGTTCATAATGAGAAGAATTTGTTCAACCTTTTGTTTGAATTCATCACTTGATGGATTATTTTTGCCAGAGAAGGTTCATAATGAGAAGAACTCATCTGAAGAAGGAAGAAGAAGTTCATAATGAGAAGAGCTTGTTCAACCTTTGTTTGATACTATCACAGAAGGAGATAGATTAGCATCAGCCTTTCTAGAGAAAGTTCATAATGAGAAGAACTCATCAAGAGCTTATTCAACCTTTTGAATGACTCTATCACAGAAAGGAGGACATCATCATCCCCAGCAGAAAGTTCATAATAAGAAGAACTTATTTGGAGAGAGAGAAGAATTTATTCAATATCTCCATTATGATCAAAGTAAAGTCAAATGGATAAAAAAATTTATTATCTTTTCATCTTTGCCCTATTCTTGTTAACACAAGAATGAGCAAAGAGGGGCAGCTGAAGATACTAATTTTTATCCATATTATTATTATTAATATTATTATTATTATTATTATTACTATTATTATTATTATTATTATTATTATTAATATTATTATTATTATTATTATTATTATCATTATTATTATTATTAAATATATATTAAATAAATAATAAATTACAGACCAATTACAACTGGACCGGCCCAGTTACAAACCAACCAGAACCGGTCCAAATCCAACCAGAAACCCTAAATACTTGGGTTTCCAGTTAGGGTTTCCTAACCCTAATTTACCCAGCCGCCTCAGCTCACAGCCGTTGGATCTAGCAAGATCCAACGGTCCAGATGGTGCCAGAGGGAAACCCTAGGGACTGATACCCTAGGGACACGCGGCCGCCGTTGCTATCTCGCCGCCTCCGCCGCTGCCACGTCCCAACCGAAGACTCCAGAAGATAATATACCAGCCGTCCACGCCATGGCTACTCGGTGAGTCACCACTGGTAGTCCGGTGACTCACCGAGAGCCCTTCTTCGGACCGGTCCGACAGCTACAACGGTGGTGGCTATAAAAGCCACCACCCATCTGCGAAAAAAAAAAAAGGACAGAGATATAGAACGAGACAGAGAGACAAAAAAAAAAGAAAAAGAATAGAGAGAGACATAGAAAAAAAAACAGAGAAAATACAAACTAATACCAACGATCTCAGCAGCAAGAAAACCAAGAAAAAAAAAAGAAAAAGGAAGAAGAGACTTACCGAGGAAGCCTCGACCACCGGATCTCGCCGGATACAACAAAAACCGAAGGTATATTTGTAGATCTGCTCCGATTGGGAGTCGTTTAACGAAAAAAAAGTATCGGGACCGTCATTAGGACGGTCCGATCTACATTTAGATGTAAAAAAAAATTTTCCGGCCATCGAAGACGGTGGCCGGCTGCAGTGGTTGACGGCGGATGAACGCCGGCTAACGGCTGCCGGCCGGCTGAGCTCCTCTCAGTTTAGAGAGAAGACAGAGAATTCTTCTCTCTGTTTGAGAGAAAGAAAAAAAAAAAATGAAATGAAATGGCTGGCCCTTCGGGCCAGCCGATTTGGACTCTTATAGTCCTTCCCGAACGACGTCGTTTCGGGAAGGACTATGCGCGTAATTATGAAATAGTTAAACCCCGTCCGCAGTCCTTCGTATTTGTAAATTTTACATTTTAGTCACTAAATTGAATTTATAATATTTTTAATTTAGTCTTCGAATTTTAATTTTATTTATTTTAGTCCTTCATATTAAAATAATATATTTAGGATAAATTACAGATTTAATCCATTAATTTTAATAAATAATATTTTAATCCTTAGTTTATATTTTTAATTTATTTGATTCTAATATCCAAATTTTAGATAATTTTATTTTAGTCACCAAATAAAGAAATAACATATTTAATCCCTGTAATTTAGATTAATTATGAATTAGATTTTAATTTTATTTTTTCATTTATTTTATATGTTTTCATTTATTTTATTGTTTTTAAATATATTGTTTTAGTAGTATTTGTATTTTTATTATATTATTAAATATTTTATTAAATATTTTATAAATATAATAAATAGTATTTTTTTAAATATTTATTTTTAATATTGAAGAAAAAGGACAGTCTTAATACAACTGGATGTCCTATTCTGATATTTTAAAATTAAAAAGTAAACCATATTATTTAAATTAATATTTATAAATATCAAAGACAAGAGCTGTCTTAAGGCACCTAGAAGTTCTTTTCGGATATTTTTAAATAAATAAATTTTTTATATAATTTTGAAATAATAGGATTATAAATTAAATATATTTTTGAATTTTTAAATTTTAATAATAGAGACAATTTATAATTAAAAAGTACCAATTTTGGGCGTTGTAGGGGTGCTAATCCTTCCCTAAACGTAACCGACCACGAATCCCTTTTTATTATTAAAAAGAACGAATTTTTGGTTATAAAACGCATATCAGTTCATCTTTTAAATATGGTTTTCTTAAAAACTCTTTTAAAAGATAATTTTTAGGTATTCGACCTACCTGATCCAAAAGGTCGATGGCGACTCACAAATTATTTTCAAAATTATTTATTCACATCAATTTCCCCGCCAAATTTAATATTTCGTGCCCGGACAAAAACCGGTTACGACAATAGCAATGTTCAAACTCAAGTTATTAATACATGCCTAACTGAAAATGTTAAAAGTGCACACATAAAATACACATAATACAACGTTTGCATTTAAAAATCACCTAAGTTAACAGTCCCAAAAGGTGAAGCCGGTTGTGATTGGGATTTTAAAGATGATTGCGATTTTCAGAATCGCGTTGCGAAAGTTAGAATCGCGTTGCGAAAGTCAGAATCGCGTTGCGAAAGTCAGTATCGCGTTGCGATTTTGTATTATCGCGTTGCGATAGTCAGTATCGCATTGCGATTTTCCAAATTCGCATTGCGATTTACTTATTCGCATTGCGAATTGGGAAAATCGCAACGCGAAATTGTAAAATCACATTGCGATAGTCATAATCGCGTTGCGAATCTGGAAACTGATTTGGAATAATGGAGATCGCGTTGCGAATTAGCGATCGCATTACGATTTTGTTGGTCATTTTGGCAAATCCGAAAAAAGTTGGTTAAAATCGTATATTATATGAGATTTTTGGTCACTGAGGTTATTTTCTCAATAAAATAAGGTAAAGTACTCCTATTGGTCATTAAATCATTATCATATTTTTTATTATGGTGGTCACTGAATTAAAAAATCGTTTTCAAGTTACAAACTATATTTAAAAGTGCTTTGAATTTTTTACGTCTAGGGAAAAATGCAATTAAAATAATAAAGTCAAATCAATAAAATTATAACAATACATATACAAATTAATTTACGATTTAAAAAATGGTGGCCGAATCTACATATAAAATAAATGAAAAGATTTGGGAGCATTTGGGATACATATAATAAAAAGGCAAAACTATGAGTCTATGACTTTTTGTCTCTAATGTGTATTTAATTTGAGATTTCATTTTTATATGTTAATCTTAATACAATTTAATACTTATAGTATTAATATTACTTTTGAGGAAATAAAAGATTAAGTTAAAAACTTTTATCTCTATATTCTATTTTTAACTCAAGATTTATTTCTTATATTTCTAATATAATATTAATTAAATAATTCAAATTCAAATATTATAAAAAATTAATTAAATTATTTCATTCATTATATTAATACAAATGAGTAGCACGGGCCGTTGTATAAGCTATCCTTTGGGTTTGAAGCGGCCATATGGTCCATGACCTTCAAATGATGTGAAGATTGCTTTCCCGGAAAGAGGAAACATAGCCCAGACATGGACATTTTTCTTTCGCGAGAGGTCTGAGAAATTTGAGAAACCAAATATTCCAAATCAATAATGGATAGATAAATAAGGCGTGGATAATCGTTATTTTGAAATTTTTAAATTTTAATTTAAAATCTGATTTTATTTTTTAAAACTCTATAATTTCATTTTTAACCTTTTATATTGTGTCTGTTCCAAATTACTAAGTACTAGACTACTAGCTAGCTAACTCTGCAAGAACTGGACTCGTGTCAATAGGTGTTGAATGAAAGTGAAGGACTAAGCGCCTACGTGTCCTTTCCATATGGCTTCATTGCTCCTACTTCGCCAAGTTTATTCTGCTACGTGTCCTTCCTACCTTGATCGGCACCCCCTCGCCTTTATCTTTATAGCTTGCCTCTTATATAAACCCTATGTTTTGCATGCATCGTTATGTGAACTCACCCTCTTGTAAGCCGTGTCATTCTCATTTCCCAAGTTCTTTTAAAGAGAAAGAAGCAAAAGCACGCGATGGCATCTCAACAAGAAAGAGAGGAACTCGACGCCAGGGCAAGGCAGGGAGAAACGGTTGTTCCCGGTGGAACTGGTGGCAAGAGTCTCGAAGCTCAAGAGAACCTTGCAGAAGGTAGGTGATCCTGGATACTATTTGTTCGTGGTTGCATTAGTTTGATGTTGAGCTAGTGTTTTAGGGAGGAGCCGTGGAGGACAAACAAGGAAGGAGCAACTGGGGAGAGAAGGGTATCAGGAGCTGGGAAGCAAAGGAGGACAAACAAGGAAGGAGCAGATAGGAAGTGAAGGGTACCAGGAAATGGGCAGGAAAGGCGGACTCAGTACCACCGACAAGTCTGGGAGTGAGAGGGCGGCCGAGGAAGGAACCGGCATCGACGAGTCCAAATACAGAACTAGGAGTAATGCCCCATAAGTGCCTGCTGCTCATCTGTTTGCTCAAGTCCAACGTCTTGGTGCTCTTGTATCTACAAGTCTAGATTGATTAGCTTCAAGATTGTCTTATGTTTTGGTGGTGTTTTTCTGTCGGTTCTAACAGTGTAGTGGAATATGGCATATGGGAGGTTTCCACTTCGCCAGTGCAGCTCCCTTTTATGTGTGCATTTCGACTTCCGAATGAATTATATATTTGGTCGATATTATTTAAAAAATTATTATAAATTTTGAATATAAATTACGAAATGGTTTATATTTTTCATTTGGCTTCCAACATTAGAAGAAATGGTCGGTATATCCGTTCTATGATTGAAGACCAACCTATAAATTCAAACCATTTCCAGCATTTAAAAATCTTTTCTCTTGTTTTTTACACACTAAATATTTTGTTTGTTTTTTATACACTAAATGTTAGGTTTGAGTTTGCTTTTGAGAAGAGCAGTATCACTTTGTTCATTTCAAAACTTTGGATATACGAAGCTTTTAAAACACTGTTTTAACTTGGGGGTGTTGTACATTATAACAATTACACCAATTAGGAAAAATGATATTTTGATTCATCACCACAAAATTTGTGAATAATTCTTATCTGTTGTTTTATTTTATTTTCCTGTCATTACTAACGCCTCAATACTTATAGAATAATTTTATCTGCAAATTCTAGAGAAAATAAATAATACTTATAATAGTGAAGGATAGTTTAAGCATCTAAAAAAACAGAGAAAATGGTACATGTATAAATTAAATAAAAAATATTTTATATAGTTAAGATTAGTTTAAGTGGTAAGCAACTTGATGTCTCAAGATAAAATACTGAAAAATAAAAAAGATAAATAAAAAATATTTTATACAGCTAAAATAAATAAATAATATGATTGGAATACTTACTATTTCCATTAATTTTAAAACAAATAAAAATCATCAGTTTTTTATAGTAAAAAAAAATCAAACATATCTCTGCTTAGTTGATTACGAGTTCCCGTTTCGAGTCCCTCCAAGTTCGAGTTCCCAGCACCAACAGAACAAATATTATCCTATTTCACAAAACCAGCGTTTCCAATGGCCGCCTTCAATAAGGTCTCTCCCCTCTTCACCTTATCTTCTTCACTTCGCAGATTCTCTTCTCCTGCTACCCGAAATACCCCTATCCTTTCCTTATATTCACCCTTCACCCCTCCTCTCTCTTTCCCTTTCTCTTTCCCTTCCCTTTCTCTAAGGCCTCATCTCTCCACAAAAACTCGCCCTTCGGTAATCGTTTCCGCTATCAAGAACCTCTCCGAGATCCAACCCGTTCCCTTCCCCTCCACTCCCGAGGAATTCGCCGCTCAATTCCCTTCCGATGCCGGTGTCTACGCCGTTTTTGATCGATACGACGAGCTTCAATTCATCGGCATCTCGCGTAACATTGCTGGCAGCATTTTTACTCATCAAAAATCAGTGCCGCACCTTTGCTGCTCCGTTAAGGTGCATTTTATAAATATTCTTCCTCTTTATACTATTTTTTGAGAATTGGTCACTACGGTACAATACATAATGTCCATAGAAACAGCTTTCAATGTGCCGGTGTTGATTGTTATTATTATCCTTTGGATGCTGATTGTTGTGTTTGGGAATTAATGAGTAAATCAGTGCAAGGCATTTAATTAAAAAAGCGAATGACATTAATATGACCTTTTTAATATCTGGATTGATGGATAGGATGTTTGAACCAATGTCATGCACCAAGATTCGAGTTCAAACATCAATTAGAGCAATGTAGTCCAAGGAAATGTGCAGCTTGTTTAATTTTGATATTGGATGGATTTGCTTATATATTTAGCTCACTAATGTTTACAACATTCTGATTGTTTTACTTCACAGTTTAGTTGCCAAAAGCTCATTCCTATCTGTAATTTGGTGGCTCTAGTTGTTTCAAAACTGTTCCAATGGTTTTGTGTTTATCCATGTGCTGTAATTTGATTGTTTAGTGACCAGTCATCAAGGTGAATGATCTTTTTCAGAATTGTATTCATCTTGGAAAATGAGTTGGAAGTCGAATGTATGCCACCAAATTGGGTGGATTGTATGTAAAAATTGTAGTTTGAGAACTTTCGTTATTAACCATCCTTGAGGTTTGAATAGATTAAGCAGACAATGCTTCTAATTCTTACCGAGCTAGTTGAGTTGAAAATTGAAATCCCACCAGACTTTGATGTCCTTGGTGTATTCTTTTTTGGGTCAAATTGTATAAAGGTCCCCCATAGGCATCTTGGGTAGGGGGTGAGTATTTGATAAGTCTGAGTCAAAAAATTTGATCAAGTCGAGTTGACGTGTATTATTTAACTCAAATTTTATTTGGAAATTTTTTCAGTAGAGTTGTTCGAGTTTATGTTTAAATTTATTTGTAAATATTTATAATGTTATGATACTAATTGATTCTAATTTAAATATAATCATAAATGATATGCATATATATTTCTTTATATGCGATATACATATATCATGCAGTGTTACGAGACTCGAATCTGAAAATCAATTCATTAGTTATTAAAAATTTCGAGTTATTCGAGTTCTATTTTATAACTCGACTCGAATTTGATTTTTTTTAGTCAAATTGAGTCGAGTTTTTTAGGTCGAATCTAATTGAAAAAAATTAATTTTTTCGAGTCAAATTTTACTCGCATCTAATACTTGCACCTTTACACAATTTGACCTTTTTTCTTAACCCTTTTTGTTGAGAGGTCATGTTATTGTAAAACTGCTTGTGTTTATTTCTTAGTGTATTCTTTTTTAAGCATTGTGTAGGTTGGCGTAGTCAATGAACCCGATAGAACAGCTTTAACTCAAGCTTGGAAGTCATGGATGGAAGAGCATATACAAGCAACAGGTAAGGTCCCACCAGGCAATGAAACAGGAAACACCACTTGGGTCCGGCAGCCCCCGAAGAAGAAGGCAGATCTCCGACTTACACCCGGTCGTAATGTACAATTGACAGTTCCACTCGAAGAACTCATCGATAAGTTGGTGAAGCAGAACAAGGTAGTGGCCTTCATTAAGGGGTCAAGAAGTGCCCCGATGTGCGGATTCTCGCAGAGAGTAATCGCCATTCTCGAGAGCCAAGGAGTGGATTACGAGAGTGTTGATGTGCTGGATGAAGAGCATAATTGTGGATTGAGGGAGACAATGAAGCAGTACAGTAATTGGCCCACATTCCCTCAAATCTTTGTGAATGGAGAACTGGTTGGAGGGTGTGATATATTGACCTCCATGTACGAGAAGGATGAACTTGCTGCTTTGTTCAAACAGTAACGGCTTTCAGTTTTCTTCTCAGCAGTGTCAAACCATGACAGCGTGTGTGAATTATTTTAAACTACCGTGTAATCTTTATCTCTATTATTATTATTATTATTATAAAATGATGATTATGCTATAGGAATAGGTTGATCAGGACTAACTCTGAGATAATTAAAGCATTTTTTAAATAATTGAAATTAATATATTATCAAAAGGTTGTCTTGGTTTTTTAACAATTTTATATAATGTTTAAATAAAAATATTATAAATTGTTATATGAGGATTGAATACGAAGTTAATAAATCTATACAATTTTTTCTCTCAAATTAATTTTCAAAAAAATTTAAGATATAGGGGAAACTATGCATTTAATTATCCATATTATCCATCTATTTGTGTGTTTTTGTTTTGATCGCCTAACTATTCTTTTTAAATTCATACTTAATGTTATATTTTTGTCATCTATCGTTTAAAAATTAATAATGATATTGATGTGTCGTTATAAGATAATGTCATGTCATCTTTGAAAAACATAAAAAAAATACTACATTGGTAACTCTATTAATTTTTTAACGGCAGATGATTAAAATGAAACTAAAACATAATTGAAAACATGATTTTAAAAAAGAATAATTATGTGATCAAAATAAAATCGTACAAATAATTGAATGGCTAAATATATAATTTAGTCTAAAATCTATTATATAAATATAATCATGTAGAAAACTTTTAGATAAACAAGCCCATCCATTCCTGGTAGGGGATAGATCAAGAACAGCTGTTATAAATTTATATAATATATAATAGATACAATAATCATTTTTTTCGTAAATAAATTTAGATTCTTAAGATATATATAAAATACAAGATAAATCAAAGACAGAGAATAAACATATTATTAAAAGTAGTTAAAATGTAATGTATTAAAATGATAATACGAATGCAATATAATATATGATTGATTTAATAATATCAAAATTAATATTAAACAAATTATATGTTTTGTATGAAGTTGATATAAATATGTTCACGTTAAACGCACAAATTATAATACTTATTGAATATATAAAACCTTATCTAAATTGAATCATTATGTTCAAATATGTATCAAAATAAAACATACCAACACATGAATTACTATCCAGATAGCTTATCCAAAAAAAAAAAACAGTATTGTATCAATTATGTTTTTTTTAATTAATTTATTCAACTTCTTCAGTAGCAAGTTCATCACTTTGTACAACATCTACTCCTTTCTCCATACAGAGTACAAGTTTACACAATCTTTCACATGCGGCTTCGCTGGCTCGATAAGGCTGGTTTAAAACTGGCAAAACCAGTGATTTCCCTACCAGTCACCAAGCTGTTGATGTCATACGTGCCTTCGTACGTGTAAATGGGTTCCAAATCACAGAATGCCTGCATCATGATGAAACCAAGAAAACTCAAACATGTTTCCACAAAAATTCTCTATTTTTCTCCTTTAAAAGCAAAGGTAGATCTTGTTACTAATCTGAAGATGGTATCAGAATCACTAGAAAAACAGACAACTAATAGTTATTCATCATACTTTATGCCCTTCGAACCTCGGGTCGAGGTTCAAAATACCACTTTGCAGTTTGATCTAACATAGATATATTCTAAATTGTTGTGTTTTGGCAGAAAGAAACTGAAAGTGATTCTGTGGTGAGGGTAGAGAAAACCTTGGCAACAAGAAAATCAGCCAAAATTCCATTGCCACCGAGTAACTCCCGTCCTAGAGCCGCCGTCTCTCTTGCCCTCAAGGTAATCCAAGACTGAAGATCATATAACAGGTTGTCATGGCTAAGAATCCAAAACAAAACCTTACATGAAAATCATGGTTTTCCTATAGCTTAAGATGTCCAATACCTTTCCCAAGCTGGCATGACCAGGAGTCATTTTACCGCTTCGTACAATTTGCAAAGGCGCCAACCGACAAGGGTCATTGCTTGGATATTACCCAACATGCGAACAAGTTTCTGCTGGTTAAGTTGGAAGGCTGCCAATGGTGCTCCGAACTGTTTCCTCTCCTTCAGATACCTACATCATATCAAATGTAGAACATGTCATCTTGCATGCTTGAAATGCCATTTCCCAAAGAGAAAAAACAGAATTCATGCAATACCTGACACACATATCATATACACCCATTGATATGCCAATAGGTTGCCATGCAACAATTACTCGAGAAACAGCTAGTACCTGCTTTCCATGGTGGAAATTATACATGCATTAATACCGCATAAGATCCAGTAGGATAAAATATAAAAGTCCATATAAATGGGAAAATTATGCTCACTAACTGGAGCTTGTTGACCAGTTAGAAAGCAGAAGGACTAAGTTGAGATACGATATTTTGAGGAAGGTTATTAGAACAAACCTTGCTTGTATCTTGAAAAGAGTTCACACCAGGTAACCTGTCCTCATCCGGAACAAAGACTTTCTTTAAGAGAATATCTCCATTTTGAACAATTCGCAATCCAATCTTGTTCGGTATTTTTGTAGCCGTCAATCCAGGGGAATCCTTCTTAACTAAATATCTGAAACAGAAAGCAGAAGCATTCGTTATTAAGAAAAACGTGCACGCAATGGATCTACCCACCTTACAATTAGCAATCCCAATGTTTCTCTCTTAGGTTATTGTTTCAGTAAACTTGGGAAACAATGGCTCATGCCTATAGTAAAATTTCAAGGTCTGCAAACAACTTTGTCTTCATATAATGTTTCTTTGCTGCAAATTGATATCGGATTCTCATTGTATATTTGATAATACTAATACTTTGTAGTTTCTGGTGAACACACGGTCATGTCTATTTTTGAAGCCATTAGAAAGATTAATTTGTGTGCAAGACCAAGTCCTAAACACTATTTCTCATATGATGTTTCACTTACCCATTTATCTGGTTGGTTGTAGTATTCCTGGCAAAAATAACCAACACATCAGCAAAGTGCTGTTTCCTATCCAGCGTTTTTGTCCCTCAAGTATCCAACCTCCTTCTACCTGAATGTTTGAGATGAAAGCAAAAACGATACAACACAAAATTTAGAATGTTGATCAATGGTTGAAATTAGTTATATCAAAAGAAGATATGTGAAAACTAAAATACAAGGTTGTGGATGGACCTTTGTTGCAGTTGTGTTTAGAGAACTAGCATCACTTCCATAGTCAGGCTCGGTCAAAGCCTAAAGATAACATTAGGTTTCTTTAATTATGGCTCAAAAAGACATTAAGGATCAACCATGAAGTTAATGCCGAAAATAAACACCTACCCAACAAGCTACAGTTTTTAATTGTGCCAAAGAAGGTAAATACTTCTGCTTCTGTTCCTCTGACCCGCAAAATGCTATCATTATATTTCCCGACAAGCGTGCAAGATTGTGATTAATTGTTTATCATTTTTAAAAAGAAAATTAATAAAAGAATGAATCAAAAAATTAGAAAAATTTATGGAGTGAAATGGTCTTCGTTTCACATATCTCACCAATGGTAAGCATGGCCAGAGATGAATGCACCAATATAAAAGTCGAGCAACTTGCATCGACCCTAGCAAGCTCTGCAGTTGCAATAGCACTTGCGGTAAGCGAGAGACCAGGGCATCCATAACCCTGCAAATCAGTAATAACAAAACATCATACTTAATTTCCACTTTCAAGGAACAAATTAGCTAAAAACCAAAACCCATATATGACTAACCTTGATGGTACCACCAGCAATACGAAGAGCACCGAGTTTGGGAATGATTTGGAATGGAAACTCCGCCTTCTCCCAATACTGAGAGAAAAATCGCATATTAGTTGCTAAACATCACAACATTTAATTGTCATCTACCAAACCAAAGTCATCAATCCATGTTGTGAGAAAGGTTAATTATTAGAAAGATACCTCTGCCATTATAGGAGCTACTTCTTTTTCCATACACTCTCGTACTTTCTTACGGACAGCCTGCTCCTCAGGCCTCAAGAGATCATCAAATTGATAATAATCAGAAGCTGAATTGATTCGCAAGCGCAAAACAAGCACATAATTAGAATTCGAGAAAACCCCATGATTCATTTAATAATCGGAAGCAATAATCCAAAAACAATCAAACTTGACACCGTTTTCAACAAGTCCAAATGCACAAACATAAGCAACATTTGTAGCAGAGATAAAAACTGAGAAAAATGAAAAGAATCCATACCACCAGGAGGAAAAATAGACGCTGGAGTAGCCTGAGGGAATGCAACGGAAACATCCAAAGATGGGGAGTAATAATAAGAAGGCTTGGCACCTTTGTCAGTTTGATCTGCGGGACAATAAAGCCAACAAATTTATTAGACTAAACAAACACAAGAACCATATACACCGTCACTTTGTAGCTATCATAGGTGAAAATAAAACCGCAAATAGAAATTATATAAAAAATACTTCGTCGGGTTTTTTTGATAAATTAAAATACCCAAGATTTCATATTTCCATGTACCCATCAATGAATAATATGTAAAGCTTCGAGAAAAAAAATGCTAGGATTTGTTTAATATTCTAGAAAATTACTAATAGCTGTTCCTAATATCAATCATTTAAGAGCAAATCCAAAATCAAACGGGGCGAAAGATCGTCATAAAAACACACAAAAAAAGTATACTTCTGCAAGATTAATTTTGTATAGAAAAAACGAACCTTGAACAGTCATGGGATCAAATGAGAGTTCTTTGTTTTGTTTTTTTTCAGGGAGGTAGGAGAAAGACAGAGTTGGCACGCAAGTTAGGATTTGATATATAGAAAAAGGGGATGAACGAGTACGCTCAATATATCTATTGGATGATATTTTATAATTTGGAGGTAACGGCTTTTAATTTAGTATTGGGATAACCTATTATCTTATCTTTTCTATTTCATTAAATATGAAAATAAGGGACAGTCATTACGGAGAATTGGTGACATGTTCAATTTTTATTATTGATTTTGAAAAGATTAAGTTTGATACTGTATTATTGATTATTATGTTTTACTCACGTACGTTATTAATTTATTATGTTTTGGTTATTAAATCGTTAACTCTATTAATTTGATGATGTAACAAGTTACTAAAAGAATTAATTTCTAATTTGAAAAAGTTACGCACTAATCACTTTTGTTTTTTATTTGTTTTATTGTGATTATGGAGTTGTTAACTCTTATTAATTTGATTACATATCACGTTAGCAAAAGTGTAACATTCTCGATACTGGGTTAGTGATTAAATTATAAAGTTATGGAATTTGGTACTTAAAGTATAATAATTGACTAGTTCAAGGACTTATATGAAAATGTTGTGTAGGATCAAATTTCAAGAATGAAGAATAGAAGGACAACATGGTCGTTTTGTTAGTAAATAATTAAATTTAGTTAGTTATATATGGAGGTCACGTGTATGAGAGGAAGCAAATATCCAAGCTTCCAAACAACTCTTCTCCTCATTTCTTCTTTGTGCGTGTGAGCCAAGGTAAAGGTAAGAATTCTTATAGTTGATTAATAGTTGAGATTTAAGTTTGGTTTTGATCATTAGATGATAATTAAGCTTAAAGAAAGCTTAATTTATCTTAAAACAGCAAGATGAATAGTGTAGGAAGAATTAAAGGTTAGGAGTTCTTGAATGAAATTTTGAAATAAAGTTCATAATGAGAATTGGAAGTTGAATTACACTTGTCACCAACTTGATTAAGGAATATGAAGTGTTAGAATTAGATTTAGAACATGTTGCAATTTGAGTGAGATTCTTGAATTTTATGTAGAGGATTGGATTTTTAAGTTTAAGAGGTATTGAATGGGTATAAATTAGTTTAAGTAGGTGTATGCAAGTTAAAGATATTAAAGGAGGTGAAATATGAAGTGTTGAGCTAAAAAGGAAGTAAATTTCGTGCTCAAAATGTAATTTATGGGCAGAGGGTATCGTACCCTCTGAAGGTGTATCGATACCCCTTGAACAAAAACAAATATCAGAATGCAATAAGGGTATCGATACCCTATAGGGGGGTATCGATACCCTCCCTTAAGATGAAATTTTCAGATTATTGTAGGGGTACCGATACCCTATGGGGGTATCGATACCTATTATAAATGAGAATGAAAATTACCTTTCCTTTAGCTTAAAAATTGGAAGATTAGAGTATACAATTAGATTACTAATATCTATAAATGTATAATTATGTAGATAGTGAACGTAAGCTTGTTCCGGAACAATCGAAGGATTAGGATCGAGTTAAATCAAGCAAAGCTAAGGTGAGTGCATATCCTAGATAGAATTGTATTGAGATAAGACTTGCGATAAATCTATCTCTTATAAATGAATTTATGATTCCATATTCATGCACATGCATACATATATATGTGTTAATGTTATAGTGATTACATGCATAATTCATTCATGATTTAACATGATATTATATGAATGAATGTCATTATCAGATAATCCTTCCAGGTATGTGAATAATAGAAATGATCATATGAAGGACTTATGTGTTTACATGGACAGTGATGAAAGAGATATGAAATGAGAAAGGTATTGGTAACTAAGCCCATGTTATTTAATATGAGAGCTGTAGGTATAATTGACATGCCAAGAGTCGAGGGATTATAGTGGTCATTCGGGATATAGTGGTCATTCGAGACATAGTGGTCCTTCGGGACATATTGGTTATTCGGGATATAGTGGTCCTTCGGGACAAATATTCAGTGCCCCTAATGGGATTTTATTTGAGCTGTGGTGACAGCATTATGCACAACCTAAGTCTACTCACGTACCTTCTGTTCTCAATAATGTACATAGGCATTCAAAGATAAATTAAAAGAAAACTCTTATGACACATAATGTTCATTCATGCTATCATACTTATATGTCATAATGGGATATCTACAGGTGCATTGCAATGTCTTAGTGGATTGATAGTAGTGTGTATTCATGATATTATTGTTGTATGTTTATTTTATGTCTCACTAAGTCTGTGACTTAACAAGTAAGTGATTTACACGTAGGTACCAAGAATTCAGAATAACAGAAATAGGGGTGACAAGAACGACATCATTGCTAAAAGATCAAATCAAAAGTAACTAAGAAAGTATGTATTTTGATTGTATATAGTGTGTTGGCATGTAAGAAAAGTGTTAGTTACGAATGCTCTGATCGAATTTGTCTTGTTTTGGTTAACTTATGTAAAATAAAAATTTTATTTTAATGAAAGTTTTAAATTTCCTTGTTTTTCGTCAAGAGTCAAAGTTTGAAAAGTCAATGTGACACTTCAGACTATTATCCAGGTCAGGTACGGTGGGTGTTACATTTAATGGTATCAGAGCTAGGTTTAGTCGATTCTCGGTATAAAACGAAGTCTAGAGAGTCTTATAAAGTATACATGCCACCAAAATAGTGAAAACTTTTGATATGATATAATAGTAAGTATGTTATTTGCTAATAGAACGATATGAGTATTTTATAGATGTCCGGACATGGTAGCTCGGGAGA